ATTCCTAATCAGGGCACATGCCCAGGGTTTCCAGCTTGATCCTGGCAGGAGGCATACAAAAGACAGCCAATCAATTAACACTTACGTTTCTAATGTCTATCCCTCTCCCCCTTTCTCTAAAATCAATTACACACACACACACACACACACACACACACACACACACATATATTTAGAAATACAAGACTGCAGATTTACGATAAATAGTTATTGAGTGCTTATTATGTTCTGTCCCTGGGGTTAGAAATGAAAAGTCCTTAGAAGAAGATTAAGGGGGAATTAATGGTGATACATGGATGCTGGAAACAGATCATTCTCTCACTAATTAGGTGTGGACAAGGAACGTGGAAGACTGGTCAATCTTGAAGCTCTGAAAGGTCAGAGCCAACCACTCCCTATCTAATTGAGACAATGGTAGCAGAAGCAACTTCCCCACCAAATAATCATGTAAATCCTTACTGATAAGATAACCTGCCTGTACTAGAATTGCCTGCCTAAGGGCAATAGGTATATCCCAAACCTGAATAAAAGGGATGGCAAGGCCGAAGCAAAGCTTAGTCCTCCCAATGGAGTTGGGCTTCCCCCTGGCCCCCAATATTCCCAAATTAATATTTTTCTAGTCTCTTTCATTTGTGGGCAGCCTTCTCCAGAGCCAGAACCCTGAACCATGCAGGACGTGAAAGGGCTTCCCACACATGGAGGCTTAACAGATGATGAACTACAGAATTGTACACCTGAAACCTATATAATTTTATTAAACAATGTCACCTCAATAACTTCAATAAAAAGCTTTAAAAAAAAGTCCTTATCCTTATAGGGTTTATCAATCAATCAAGGTAGTTGCATACTGCAAAATAATAAGAAACAGATGGAAAAAAGGAAACAGTGAGTTGGTAAAGATGAATATTTTTTTACAGAAGGTAGTTAGGGAAAGCCTCTATTAGAAACTGTTTTTGAACAGTCTAGAATGATGTGATCAAAGACCTTCAAATACCTGAGGGAAGAATATCCCTGGGAAAGCAAATATCATAAGATGGATACAAAGGCAGTAATGAGCTCACAGTATTCAGACTCAAGAGGCTTGGATGAGAGTGTCTGGGGATCAAAATCACATCAGATACAGGGAGGAGTCAGATTGTGCACCACAATAAGGAATTGCATTTCCTTGTAAATGGAATGGGAAGCTACTGGAGAATGCTGAGTAGGTGACATTATCTGACATTTTTCAAAGATCACTGAGCTTTGTAGATGAGTACTGATTATATGGGGTAAGAGTGGTAGCAAAGAAAGCCTAATAAAATGTTTTTGCCATAGTCCATGAAAAAAAGTCATGATTAAAAAAAAAGAGTTGCCCAGATGGTGTAGCTCAGGGGTTGAACATCGACCTATGAACCAGGAGGTCATGGTTTGATTCCCGGTTAAGGTACTTGCCTGGGTTGTGGGCTTGACCCTGGTGTGGGGGGTGCAAGAGGCAGCCACTAAATGGTTCTCTCTCATCACTGATGTTTCTCTCTCTTTGTTTCTGAAATCAATAAAAATATATTTTAAAAAATAGTTTAAAAAAAGAGCCAAAATATTGTCCTGATAGAATGGATATGGAGTGTGAAAGAAAATGAATCAATGATGACTCTTAGACAACAGAGATGAGTGACAGGAAATATCAATGATGCCATCTACTGAAATAGGTAATGATGAAGGAATGAGTAGAATTATTACTATCTCTATATTCCATATTAAAGAAAACTGAGCCGGGACCGGTTTGGCTCAATGGATAGAGCGTCGGCTAGGGGACTGAAGGGTCCCGGGTTCGATTCCGGTCAAGGGCATGTACCTTGGTTGTGGGCACATCCCCAGTAGGGGGTGTGCAAGAGGCAGCTGATAGATGACTCTCTCTCATCGATGTTTCTAACTCTCTATCTCTCTCCCTTCCTCTCTGTACAAAATCAATAAAATATATTTAAAAAAAAAAAAAAAAAGAAAAAGAAAGAAAAGAAAACTGAGGCACAGTGTATCTAAGCAACTAGACCAAAGTCACACTGTTGGTAAGCATCAAACTTGGGAAATAAATTCAAACAGTGTAGCTCCAGAATCTGAATTCTTAAAGCTAAGCAAAACTGCCTCCTAAGATTCTAAGGAGTTCTAAAGTTTGAAAGAAATTCTAGATCTGAGCTCCAGGTTCAGTTAAACATTTGGAAGTCACAAAAAGGATAAGCCAAGAAAGTCTTAAAAAGGACTTAAAGCAGAAAAACAGAAAAAGTTTGATGTACTGGAAACCAACTAAACAAAGTATGTAAGAGAGGAATACTAAGAGATCAACAACAACAACAAAAATGGACTAGGTATTGATTGTTGACTATTGAATTTGGCAAGATGGAAGTCACTAGGGACTTTGAAAAAAAAGCTTGATGGAATGAGTTATATTTATAATTCAATAGTTGAACTTCACAAGAAATATCCAAAATGAGATCCACTTATTCAAAACCTGTTTCCTGAATGTTTATTAGTATCAGACACACTACATGCTGGGAATATCATAGTGGAAAAAAAAAATTCCTGACCTCATGGAGCTTACATTCTGATAACATGTCTAGACATTTCTTCAAGGGAAAAGCTATTGCCAGTATTTTGCTTCTTTATATGAAATGTTATATTACATAAATCAGTTCATGTATTTCTGAATCATCCTATCAGTTTCTGAATAAAGCAGAAGATAATTTTAAGTACAAATGTATACTAATGTTAAATAGTAAATATTCTATCAAGTGATTTAGTGAGAGGACTTTAATACCACTGATTACTCATTGTTAAATATATTCTACATACTATATTCTACATGCTATCCTAGTAAAATATTTAACATAGAAGTCTATAGGACTCTGTCCAAGGATTATTTACTGACAACTCTTTTTAGATAACTTTTCATGATATTTTGATACATGGATCACAAGAAGAGAATATGATCCAAATGCCCAAACCTGACTAACTTTAAAAAGTAAGCTTCTCTGGAGCAAAACGGTGTTCCTATACTCAAGAAACTTACTATCTAGCAAGCTCATGTGACACATTCTCAATTCAACAACTATTAGGCACCTATTACAAAATTAAATAATTAAGGAACATAAACAAAGATGCCAAATAATTTGGTAAAGATAAACGGTGTTGCAGGAGTTTTGAAAAAAGTAAAGACTAGATTATGGTAAGTTAGAGCTGTTCTCAACTGGGAGCTATTTTGTGGGCCTGAGGGACATTTAGCAATTTTTGGAAATTTTTTAAATCATGACTAGGGAAGGGAGGTGCGTGCCACTGGGTATTTGTCGGGGACGTGCGCGTGCACACACATGCCCCAAAGACATTTATCTGGTCCAAACCAGCTATTGTTGCTAAAAAAAAACCAAAAAAAAAAAAACCCTTAGGATAGAGTAATCAAGAAAAAATTCCTGAGTTGGCTTTTAACCATGAGGACAGGTAGAAAAGTAGAAGAAATAAAAGAGACAAACATATAAAAGCAAGAAGGAGCCTGCTTTGAACTGGCTTCTGTAGGTACTGAGAAAGGTTTTGACATTAAGAAATTTATCTGAATGCAATGAAAATGTGCATTAAAAGTCAGTAGGATATAAAAGTGATTGGTTAATTGGAAGCTAGATTATATAAAAACTAGACAACGGTATTGGAAATGAAAGAAGCAGTTTTTAAGAAATTGTTTTACTTTAATCATTTGCCCTAGAAATTAATGTAATAATTTGTAAAACTACTTATCAGTACCTCAATTTCTTATGTCACTGGACAGTGTCCTGTAAAAAGTGTGTGCTAAGTGCTTACTAAATTAAATGCAATTTTCCAATAAATTATTTACAAAGTATTATTGGTGAACTCTAAAGTTCCACCCACAGTATTTAGGACATTCATTTAAACTTGAACCAAAAAAAAAAAAAAAGAAAAGCCATCATTTAGGTGACTACTATATATAAAGTCACTGCAGTAGGCACTTACACATATTATTTAAAGTAACCATGAAGATAATGTGTTTGTCTCTCTTTAAAGATGAGGACACTGGGGCTCAAAGAGCTAACGTAACTTGCCCTTGATTTCACTCAGCTAGGAAATGGCAGATATAAGATTTAAAACCCTGATCCAGCCTTACCCCAAATTTCCAAGCTTCAGTGATACCCTGTGAGGAAGGGGTAAAAAGGCAAAACCTGACACCCACCATCCACAATTAAAACTAAAGAAGCAGCTCCCACTCATAGCCGTGCTTGCATTTCTTTACTACAATAATTGCAGTCAAATCACCCCAAAATTCTCTTCTCGCAAACTCAAACTCCTGTCGTCAATACCCTTAAGCCTGAAAGATAAACAAAAGCTAACCTGTAGAATCGGTATGATCAGTACCTACTGCCAATGACTCAGGGGGGGGGGGGGGGGTAAGGCAGAGGATAGGATGAGGGTGGGGCATTTAAAATTCAAAACAAATCGACAGTTTTCAGACTCAAGGTCCTCGCCTACACTTCTTCAAGTAGAGAGACCTCCTCTGAGCCAGGCAGCTCAGGTCCTCCATTCGGCCTCAGCTGTGGCCAGGAATGCCACTCGGGGCGAGGACTCGCGCGCGCACACACACACACACACACACACACACACACACACACACACACACCCGGGGCCGAGCCGCCCCTCCCAGCCCTGGCAGCTCGCTTCTCCCAGCAGCTCGGTCCCAGCTCCAGATGCTGCACCAGCTGTTCCTCCCGGGCTCTCCGCGGCCACCCTTCGGGCCATTCTCTCCAAGCACCACAGTCCCAGCTCAAGGCCCATGTCGCGGGCTCTCTGAGTCCCATTTCTTCCAAAGAGGATGCGCCAAACCCTCAACCTCCTCCGAGCTCTTAAGGTTGGAGCCTCGTGTTAAGGGTCACAGCCCGGCCTGGCCCGGGGTCCGGGGCGCCGCCGAGAGCGGGCAGAGCGGGGGCACAGTCCGGGGGGCGGTGCTCGGGGGCGGCAGGAGCACTTACCAACATCTTGGTCGAAGGGATTAGTGGCAAAGAGAGGCATCTCCGCTGCGTGCCGAGGTGTCCGCAGGGACTCCCCGTCGACAGCACGGGAGTCAGGGTGCGACGGAGGAAGGAGGACTCCTCAGGCAGAAACAGCGACTGACACGGGCTCCACACACGACGGGCTACCCACTCACCGAACCCCAGCAACGCCGCTGGCGGCAGCGGCGACAGCGGCGGCCCAGGCTAAGGAGCCCAGAATGGCCCCCGCGTGGAGCCTGTCGGGAATTTGGGTGACCTCAGCGCTGCCTGATCAGAACCTGTCCAGAAACGGCCCGTCCAAAACAGGTCCAACCAAAGCGTCCCCTCCACCCGACTCCTCTTTTGCGTCATCATACAGGAGAGTGGCAATAATGCCTGCGTTTCCTTCTTTTGCCTCGGCTGGGAGTCTGCGGGGAAACGGGGTCCTCCAGGCGCGCGGAAGTCGACTCACAATCCCTGGAGTAATTGGGACGGGAGGGCTGGGAAAGAGTAAGGGTCTCGTAGGTGTTGAGCGAGACCCCTCTCACCCCGTTCTGTTGATGGTCCTAGTTTTGTAGCTCCCTGCTGAGGAGGGGGAAGGGGGCGCCTTCATTTGGAGTCAACAACGTAGAAAGGCTGGGTGTAATTTGCTTGCCTGAGGTGACCAGCTTGCCTGGATAGAGTCATGTGAGCCTGAAGGCTCGGCTGGCCTCCCTGAAGAGGGGAGAGTCGGGGCGCTCCCCGGGGGAGGTTGAGGTCTCCCTGGCTCCTTCCCCGCCCGGCTCCCGAGTCCGCGGAAAACGCCTCTAGTTGGGCGTTGGTTGGTACTGACTAACTGTGCAGTCACTAAGCAACTGTGTTGGTTGGAAAATAAGTTTAATAACCCAGGAATGTACCCCCCTAAACCGAGAGAAAAAAAAAAGAAGAAAACTGAAAAACGCAACTGGAAATTGATTAGTGATTCATAACCACTTATTTAGTCATGTCATTAATGTTTATTTAACAAATGTAGGCATTTTAAGGAGCATCTCCTAGATGTTGCATCCCATCTGGAACAAACAGCATCTAGCATCTACTATAATGTAAATTATGCCCCAAAATAGAGCACTTCCAAATACAGCATGTAAACAAACATTTGTAAAGTGTCAACAATAGTATTAGTAGTGGTATACAAAGTGGTATACTAAACATCCATTAAGAATAAAGTCCCATTCCTAAAAGTGAAAATGCGAATTAAAGCAGCATTTAGATACATTTTTGTCATTCAGACATAGGATAGAAAATGTGGGAAATCATACATCCACGCTGTCGAATTAAGTATAAATTAATATAGTCTTCCTTTTTTAATATATTTTATTAATTTTTTACAGAGAGGAAGGGAGAGAGATAGAGAGCTAGAAACGTCAATGAGAGAGTAACATCAACCAGCTGCCTCTTGCACACCCCCTACCGGGGATGTGCCCGCAACCAAGGTACATGCCCTTGACCAGAATTGAACCCGGGACCTTTCAGTCCGCAGACCTACACTCTACCACTGAGCCAAACCGGCTTTGGCTAATATAGTCTTCCTAAAGGAAATATTTGGAAGTATGTAACCAAAGCCTTTAAAAATGTGAACACCTTTGTACCCAGCAATTCTACTTTTTAAAAATATATATATATCTTATTGATTTTTTTATATATAGAGAGAGGGATAGAGAGTTAGAAACATTGATGAGAGAAACATCGATCAGCTGCCTCTTGCATACCCACTACTGGGGATGTGCCCACAACAAAGGTACATGCCCGTGACTGAAATCGAACCTGGGACCTTTATGGTCCGCAGGCTGATGCTCTATCCACTGAGCCAAACCAGTTTCAGCATACTTTTTGAAATTTATCCTAAAGACAACCTTTAAGAACATGAGCAAAGATATTCATAACAACATTGCTTATATTACCAAAGCATTGTTCACCATTAAAATGTACAATATTAAGAGATTGGACAAATTCACTTCTTGGGACCCCTGTTTCCTCTTCTGTAAGAAACAGGAGAAATAATAGGGTTGTGAAGATCAAGTCCATTAATGCAAATGAAACCCTCAGTTGGTTAGCATATAGTAAGGATTAAATTAAGTATAAGCAATAGTTATAATTAGTATTGGTCAAGTAAATACAGTAGACACGATGTACTAGTAAAAACTCCATAGCTGCCGAGACTGGTTTGGCTCAGTGGATGGAGCATCGGCTTGGGGATTGTAGGGTTCCGGGTTTGATTCCAGTCAAGGGCATGTACCTTGGTTGTGGGCATATCCCCAGTAGGGGGTGTGCAAGAGGCAGCTGATCGATAACTCTCTCTCATCGATGTTTCTAACTCTCTATCTCTCTCCCTTCCTCTCTGTACAAAATCAATAAAATAAAATAAAAATAAAAAACTCCACAGCTATTAAAGGTGATAACATAGTTCTATTAGAATGACATCTAAATACATAAGTTTTTAAAAGCAGGTAACAAGCCGAAACTGGTTTGGCTCAGTGGATAGAGCATCAGCCTGCTGACTGAAAGGTCCCAGGTTCAATTCTGGTCAAGGGCATGTACCTGGGTTGTGGGCACATCCCCAGTAGGAGGTGTGCAAGAGGCAGCTGATTGATAATTCTCTCATATATGTTTCTAACTCTCTATCTTTCTGCTTTCCTCTCTATAAAAAATTAATAAAATATATTTTTTAAAAATAATAAAAACAAAAGCCTATAACAAAACCAGGCAGAATTACAAAATAACCCAGATTTTTGTTTATTTTTTTTAATTTAATAAATCTTTATTGTTCAGATTATTACAATTGTTTCTCTTTTTTTCTCCCCATATCTCCCCTCCACCCGGTTCCCAACACACTCTCTGCCCTTACCTCCCCTACACTGTCCTCATCCATAGGTGTACAATTTTTGTCCAGTCTCTTCCCTTACCCCCTCGTCCCTTTTCCCCCTGAGAATTATCAATCCACTCCCATTCTATGCCCCTGATTCTTTATATTCACCAATTTATTCTGTTCCTCAGATTTTTAATTCATTTGATTTTTAGATTCACTTGTTGATAGATATGTATCTGTTGTTCATAATTTTTATCTTTACTTTTTCTTCTTTTTTCTCTTAAAGAATACCTTTCAACATTTCATATAATTCTGATTTGGTGCTGATGAACTCCTTTAGCTTTTTCTTGTCTGTGAAGCTCTTTATCTGCCCTTCAATTCTGAATGATAGCTTTGCTGGTAGAGTAATCTCGGTTGTAGGTTCTTGCTATTCATCACTTTGAATATTTCTTGCCACTCTTGTCTGGCCTGCATAGTTTCTGTTGAGAAATCAGCTGACAGTCATATAGCTGTGAAGACCCACTGTGTCTATAATGGAAGAACTGCTGTGCTGGAGACACACTTATGGGGTAGGACTTGTTTCACTGGGGCTTTGGTGCTCACTGAGTCTGCCTCTTGAATTTATCACTTACGGATGTGAGTAGTTGAAATCTGGTGTTTTCTCACACAGACCACTAGATACACTAGCTTCTGATCTCCAATGGGGTGCAGATTAGCTACTGTCTGAGGCCACTCAGCTGGTGCTACAGCAAGAACTACAGTTTTCCCGTCTTTGTTTGGGTTTTGGATCTTTTGGAGCTGTCTGACCCAAGCTGCAGTTTGTTTGGTTAAGCTGCAATAGGGCAGACCATTTATACACAAAAGCCGCTGTGTGGAGCTTAGGTGGGTTTGTAAATTTTGTGGGGCGGGGTCTCAGAGAATCACTAGGCTAGGGTGTGGCAAATAGCAATGGCTGCCAGTCAGCAGTCTCTGCATTTCCGCATTTCCACTTCCCTGTACCCCAAGTCCCACCCCGCAGTAAACAATGATTGCTGGGCACACCTCTACAAGAAAGTCATCCTCACTTTCTGACCAGATGACAGACAGTCCAGCTTCTCCTCGTAGGAGTTTGGTTCCCCCGCGTCTCCCCAGAAACACTGAGTAATCGGAAGCTTGTCTCCCTTCAGGTTGAAAGAAGCAGCGCACCCAGATACCTGCTGGAAACCTGATTCACGTGCCTCCATACCTCAGTTTATCAGTGCTTGTGCATGTCTCAATGCTCTTTTTCTTTCTAGTTGTAGAATTTCCACTCAGCTAGTTTTCCATGGTTCTGTGTGATAGACGTTTTGTCTTTTAGTTGTAGTTTTGAAATTGTTGTGCGAGGCAGCAGTTTAGGTATTTACCATGTTTCCTCGAAAATAAGACATCCTCCGAAAATAAGAGCTACTTACAGGTTTCCTTCTGAGTGAAATATAAGGCATCCCCCCAAAATAAGGCCCCCCTAGGTTAAACATGAAAGATTTGGTCCACAGATTCTGAAAGAAATGGAGTCACAAGAAATTTACCAGGAAATTCAGGAATTGGATTGTTATGATGATGTTCCATAAGATGATGACATGATTGTCATTGAATAAATGAGTAAATTCTTGATACTGTAGGATTCACAGTTTGTCCGGTTTGTGTTGACAACTACCATACTACCGTACCGTGTACAGGTAATAAATTTCCTTTATTTTCATTTAACAATAAATGTGTACCGTATTCTTCTTCATGGAAAAATAAGACATCCCCTGAAAATAAGACCTAGCGCATCTTTGGGAGCAAAAATTAATATAAGACACTGTCTTATTTTCGGGGGAACAGGGTTCTTATGCTGTCATCTTGGTTTCTCACTAACCCAGATTTTTTAAGTCTGAAAAGAAACACATGAGAATATTATTACGTGATGCTCACTGAGTGATAAGCTTTGGGATGGTTTTTAGTTTTCTATGCAGTCTGTGTTTCTCAAATATTTTAATGATGACCCAACTTTCTTTCAAAAGCAGAAAAAATATAAACATAATGTAAAAAAATGTGGTACATTTTTTATTAACATTTTGAGGAGCCAGTACCAAAAGTTTACTTGTGTTTCATTCTTACAGTATAAAATTCTTCCTAAACATCACTATTGGTATGTGAACCAGAGCATTTTCTATCAAAAACCAGTTGTTGATTCC